TTAAAGATGTATTTTCCTGATAGCAAATTATATTATATTATGAAAAACGCCTTTTTTAATTTTATTCGCAGAAGCTTGAATAATTTTACTATATTAACGAATATCATAAGAACAAAGTGAGCTTACTTGCTGGGCGACTACAGAAAGAACTTCTAACTCGATCCTGTTAAATTCATCAAAGCAAGCCCATGCTCCAGAGGAAGCCAACCCTTTAAAAAACTAAGTAAAAAGAACATCGTTATTAATTACAAACAACTCCCAAAAATATTTAAGCAAATAGGCTCTTAAAACAAATATAAAAGCTTCTAAACTTAAATTCAAGGTTTCAATGGCTCTAATACACTTAGAATAGGTTATCACTAAAAATATGAGCTCATATATATCGTGAAGGATTTCTGCCTTTCACTATAAATCAAATTCAAGATATTTGAGGATAATTTGGGCTCACCTTGCCCATAGCAATATAATCCAATCCATCTGAACAATTGAATACGACACATTGGACTGCCAATGCTTTTGCTAAGTCCTTGGTTGTTTCAGTCTTGCCCGTACCAGCTGGACCTTCAGGAGCCCCATTCAAATTAAGATGGTAGGCACCAATCAGAGTTCGATAGCATCGGTCAGTGAGTGGAGTAATAACTAACCTAAGCGAATTTCCAAGGTATTCATATGCATAGGGTACTGTGGCATTTGTCAGACGGACCTAAGAACAAGTAAAGCATCAAATGAAGACGAAAATATCTAATACCAGCATTAAAAATCGTAGGATAAATTGCGATATAATTAAAATATTTTTAGAAGGTGTTTGACCTTGTTTTCACAACTTGGTCATAATGGTAGGAAGACTTATAGAAACGCACCTTGTCCTCAGTCCATTGTATGCATAATTATTTCCTAAGTCGGACCGTGGACGTGGTACATTCCTAGACGTTTCGCCGGCATCATAGTCGGCATCGTCAGTGAGTTTTACCATTCGTAGCACTATATTACAACTCGTCAAAGAGACAAGGTGAAGCGATCCTTTGACCAAACGTGTGCTAAACAGTTATGGTATCTCCCATTCTGCCCTGGCCTATTCACATTTCCCTACCTTCAATCACGCCTTCACTGTCACAATATTTTACTTGCTTAGTTAAATGTGGTCAGTGCCCTTTTTTTAGCGGCTTAG